GTTTGGGCATGCACGCACCCGCGCCCGGCGTGAGTTCTAAGCCACCGGGTCCGGGACGCGAACCACGGTCGACTACGTGGGAGTCCAGCGACATAGCCATTACGCTAACTGCTGGTTCCCTAGTGAGCTGTATTTTGAACATTAGCTCATTTGATAATGAGACTAACCCTGTCGAGTTAGAACATGTTCAAATGGATCGCTTGCTTTCTTTTAATTGTATGTTATAGAAATAACCTGTGTTGAATCACTTAGCATCCTAAATTTAAAATTGTCTCTGGGCCAGCCAGTGGAGTGGTGGTTAAGGTGGCTGAATCCCACATGGCCAAGTGAGCTGTTTGAGTCCTGGACCCAGAAGCTTGAAAAACATGCCAGACACATGTGCATGAGTGCCCAAAATCCCAGGAGGAGAACAGAAAAGAAGGAATTGTGGTGAGGGCCCAAAATCCCAGGAGGAGAAGGGATTGTGATGAGGCCATCCCCCTGAGGGGTGATTTCTCACTTTCTTCCTCTGTCTTTCTCTCTAGCAAGCTCATGTGCCCTATGGCAAAATTAAAAATTAAAAAAATCATTTCTGTATTAAGCATATCCTGGTTGGTTTCTTTTGTTTTAAAGAACTATTAATTTTTTTAAAGATTTATTTATTTAATTTTATTTGCTATTTATCTTTTAATTTGACCAGAAGGAGACAGAGAGAGAGAAAACGTGAGAAAGCAAGCCACCAGGTTTGGAACTCAAACCTTGTGGGAGACCAGCGCCTTAACCATCACACCACCTGCCGGCCCCTTAATTTTGTTTATTATTATTATTATTATTATTTTAAATTTGCTGCAGGATGCATATACTCACCAGAGAAAGAGAGAGAGAAAATGAGAAAACAAGCCTGCAGGCCCAGGACTTGAAATATAAGTCGGGCATGTGGGAGTCTAGTACCTTAGCCACCATGCCACCTGTTTTCCTCCCACCCACTCCAGTTGATTTCTAAAGCTAATTTGTTTCAAAATATATGAATACTGGAGAAAGGGCAAAAATCATGGCATAAATGTAAGGTAATAAAAAAACCTCACATTTATGCCTCACATACAGAATTTGTCAGGAAAATACCTAAGTAGGTGGGGCCAGCAGGTTGGGAGTGCTGGACTCCCACATAGCTGACCATGGTTCGAGTCCCAGACTTGCTTTCTCACTTTCTCTCTCTCTCTGGTCAAATAAATAAATAAAATAAACTTAAATAAAATAATTATTTTTAAAAATTACTTAAATAGGTCTGAAAGACTTGTTCAGGTATCTTATAGAGCAATGTTCAGGGAATGTGGAGAAAACTGACCTCTCCTTTTTTCTTAGATACATTCCACCGTTGATCTGGGGGAAAAGCGGACACATCCAGACAGCCTTGTATGGGAAGATGGGAAGGGTGAGGTCGCCACACCCGTACGGGCACCGGAAGTTCATCACCATGTCCGACGGAGCCACTTCTACGTTCGACCTCTTCGAGCCGTTGGCTGAGCACTGCGTTGGAGGTAAGCTCTGTAGGCTGCAGGACCCGACCATCCCTAGGGGGAGGAAGACTAGTAAGAAGGACCCTGGTGTAAATACTCAAGCCGCCAACTGGTTCATTGCACCCAGGGCTGTTGGGAAGGCTGACGACATTGCTCACTGCGGGGCAGCCTACAGGGATGAGCTCCTCCATGTGCTTGCCAGCCACCGTGGGGAGCTCTTAGGAAGCACTGTGGAACCATCCAGTTTTTACTTCCTCTCGTGAACTATGCTTGCTTTCTCACTTCCTCTCTTTCTCACTTTCACCTTCTGTCTCTCTCTGATCAAAGTAAAAATTAAATGAATAAATAAAATAAATAATTATTAAGGAAAAAAAAAACTTTTTGTCTTCTCTTCCTCCACACAAATGTCAACTTTTTTTTTTTTTTTTTTTTTTTTTATGCTCAATGATTTGCTAGAGGGTGCTTGTGCTCCTGGAGAGAGAGAGGGAGAGGGAAAGTAAGAATGGACGCTCCCCCATGAGAAGCATAGTCATTCTGCATTTCCTTCTCCATTTCTCCCTCATTTGGGGATTTGGGGCGTGCAGGCACATGTGCCTGGCATATTTTTCAAGCAGCTGGGTCCAGGACTCTAGCTACATAGTCAGCCATGCAGAATCCAGCCACCTTAGAGCCAGCAGGTAGTGTGGGTGATTAAGGTGCTGACACTTCCACCTGGCCGAACATAGTTCGAGTCCCAGACCTGGTGGCTTGCTTTCTCACTTTTCCTCTTTCTCTCTCTGGTTAAATTAAAATAAATGAATAAATAAATAAAATTAAATTAATAATTCTTTTTTAAAAAATGGAAAGGAATCCAGCCACCTTAACCACTATGGCATGAGCTGTCCCAAATGATAGCTTTTTTATAACCCTTTTTTGCACCTAGGTTTTCACTTAGTATATATGTTGGAGAGCTTACCATTTCAGTTTATATAAAAATGTCTCATTATTTTTTTAAGAATTATACATTTATTTTTAATCATTATTATTATTCTTCAATTTGACCAGAGAGAGAGAGAGTGAGAAAGCAAGCTGCCAGGTCTGGGGCTTGAACTATGGTTGGCCATGTGGGAATCCAGCGCCCCAACTGTCATGCCATCTGTTGGCCCCAATGTCTTATTATTTTAAGGGCCATGTAATATTTCATTACTTGGATGTGCAATCATTTGTTCAACCAAACTCCATTTCTGAGCATTTAGGCTGTGTTTAATCTTTTGCCATTACAAGCTGCCACACAGCTACTGTTTTGCATAACTTTTGTTATGCAGAAATATCTGAAAGCAAAACTGCTGATGTCACAGAGTTATTTTTCCATTCATTCATTTGTTCATTTATACAGAACTCCCTCCCAAAATGTAAAGTAATGGTCAGAAAATTTTATTGCAATTAGGCAGAATATTTTGTCTCTATTGAATCTAGTTAGTGAAAAATTGAGGTTTATATTTTTTGTTTCATTTTTCTAGTAACTGATTTTTGCTTTTATTTATTTATTTTAGATTTTTGCCTTAGGTGCATACGCTCACTCAAGTTACAGAGACAGAGAGAGGTGGAAAGTGAGAAATCAACCCCAGGAGAGGTAGCCATGCCACAATTCTTTCTCCTCCATTCTCCTTTCAGGATTTTAGACACACATGCATCCAGCATGTTTTCAAGGCTCCGTATTTGGGACTTGAACCATGGAGTGGGGCATGCAGGATCCAGTGCATTAACCACCATTACCACCTGCTGACCCTTATTGTATTGTTTAGAAAAACCAGTATAACACATTGGAAAATTTATTTACTATTTATTTATAAATTATTTTGTTGAACTTCATTTTTTAAATTTATATTATTTATTTTAATTTGACCAGAGAGAGGGGAGGGAGAGAGAGAACAAGAGAGAAAGCGAGAAAGCAAGCCGCCAGGTCCAGGACTTGAACTGCGACTGACCATTTGCAAGTCCAGCACCCCTGATCACCATGCCACCTGCTGGCCCCCAGATTGGAAAATTTGAAAACTGACTCTTCACCAAGAATAGTTTGAGAAGCACCGATGTAGATACTCCAATTAGACGGAAAGATGCTCTTTCCCAGATAATGGAGTGAACAGTCGAACTCCCTCTTCCCGTCTTCTCAGCCAGTGAACCATAGCCCTGTCCATTTATAACATTGCATTTATTGGCTCCTTCGGGATCTCTTTCCACCCTGTAGATGACATCACCATGGTCATCTGCCCCGGAATCGCCAATCACAGCGAGAAGCAGTACATCCGCACCTTTGTCGACTATGCCCAGAAAAATGGCTATCGGTGTGCCGTGCTGAACCACCTGGGCGCCCTGCCCAACATCGAACTGACCTCACCACGCATGTTCACCTACGGTAAGTCTGGGACGTGGCCATGTGGGCCCCCCCCTTTTTTTCTTACTGTAAGTGTGCTGTTATATCTGTTTCTGCCTTTTTAAAAATTTTTATTTTATATAATCAATCACTGTACATCACTACAGCTTGTAAAGAGAACTTAGCCCACATGAATATACTTCACGGCGGTCCAGTTGAAGATACTATATACATTATCATCAACAGATAATCAATCATTTCTGTGTCTCATAAATGTGTTTTTTTAAAATTTAGGATTTATGCCCATCTGCAGGGAACAGAGGGACACATAGTTACACCAGTCAGCTTATACTGGGCATTTGTGGTGCCCTGTCTCACCTCAGAGGAGAATGGAGGAGAAGGGATTGTGGTGTGGCCATCCCCCCGGGAGGTGATTTCTCACTTTCATCTGTCTCTCTCTGTTTTTCTGGCGAACGCGTGCATCCTACAGCAAAAACCTCTCCAAAAAAATAAGATAATTAGTAGCACCCAAATAGGTGACATTTACTGAAATAACTTTTACATTGAAATAGGAAACTGTACTGGAGTAGACCAGGTCCACAACCCTGTCATGTGGGTGAGATCAATGAATAACACTTAGAAATGAAGGACGATGGAGAAGATTGTTTTTGAAGTGTATTTATATCAAAGAGCTTGATCTTTAACTGGAACACTGCAGCAGTAGACACGTTGGCTTACTCTTTATTGATTTAATTGATTTTTTAACGCAGACAACGTTGGAGATGTGAGTGTTTTGACAGTGACACCGTAGGGTACCAGGAAGCATTCTGCTCAACTCGACTCTATATCTTCAGCCAAGTGCCTTATCTTAACAGTCCACTTTTAAAGTTCCGGGCAAGACTTGAGTCAAATCCACCAGCCAAGAAATGAACTGAACACTAAAAATTCCCAGCTTGTGATTATTCTGGCCTGCATTTTTCTTTTTCTTTTCTTTTTTTTTTTTTTTTGAGTTTTTGCTATAGAGTGCATGTGCCTATTGGACAGAAACGGGGGAATGGCCATGCCATGATCCCTTCTTCTCCATTCTCCTCTCAGAACTTCACACACGTGTGCACCTGTACCCAGAGTGATTCTCAAGCTGCTGGATCTGGGGCTCAAACTGCACAGTCAGCCACGTAGGATCCAGCCTCCTTCACTGCCATGGCACCTGCTCGCTCTCCAACTGAGTTTAATGCTGGGATCTTTTTTTTTTTTTGCTTTTTAAACTATCTTTTGGAATTACAAGGTAGAACCACAAAGCTCAGCCTTGCTTAGAGGGCATCTTTCTTAGAAGGGAGGGAGGCCCTGTACCCGGGATGACCATGTCATTTAGCATCCCAGCTGGGACACTTCCGAGAGTGCACCAGACCACAGACAAAGTGCAGGGCTCTCTCAAACAAGTTAGGATTACGGCCACCCTGCCTGCAGCATGCTAGAGAGATCACCCCCCTACAAGACATCTTACCATAAGCAGTTACAGATAGTGATTTTTTTAAAAAAATTATTTTATTTAACTTTATTTATTTATTTTCATTTGATCAGAGAGGGACAGAGAGAGAGAGAGTGAGAAAGCAAGCCACCAGCTTCAAGATGCAAACCATAGCTGGCCATGCGGGAATCTAACGCACTTAACCACCATGCCACCTGCCGGCCCCTTAGACTGTGATTTTTTTTTTAAAGGATTATTTGATTGGACTTTATTTTTTTAATCCATTTATTTATTTTAATTTGACCAGAGAGGGACAGAGTGAGAAAGAGAGAGAGAGAGAGAGAGAGAGAAAGCAAGAAAACAAGGCGCCGGGTCTGAGACTTGAAACATGATCAGCGATGTGTGAGTCCAGCACTCCTAACCATCACAACACCTGCCGGCCTCAGACTGTGATTTTTAAAGAACTTCTTTTTTGTTTTTACTGCTCAGTCTGTCTTATAATAGTAGATTAAGTCATGAACATATACTTCTATAAACATCTCATATCTACCATTTTACTATTTTTTCCTTGCCAGAGGACACATGTTCTCCAGAGAGAGAGTGAGAAAGCACTCCTCAGTAGGACGTGCTTATGCTGTGATCGCTTTTCGTTCATTTCTCCATGCCGTGTGCACGTGTTTTCTAAGCTGCTGGGGCTGGGGTGGGAACTGCGGTTGACCATGTTGGGTTCAGCTCCCAATGCACAGTTCTTAACCACTGTGCTACAGAGGCAGCCCTCACACCTACCATTTTAATTGATGCAGACTCAGTTTTGGATTGTATTCATGACCCAGATAAACAACTATGGATTGTGTTATCTCTGTATTAAACGGTTAAGTCTTGAGCCAGCAGGTGGTGTGAAGCTTAAGTTCGCTGGATCCCACATGGGTGATTATGAGGCTTGAAAATCAGAGCAGGAGACCAGCAGTTGGTGTAATGGCTATGTTGCTGGACTCCCATGTAGTCGACCGCTTTTTGAGCCCCAGAACCGATGACTTAAACTCACGCCGGGCATGTGTGTGTACAAGTGTGCCCAAGATCCTTTGAGGAGAATGGAGGAGAAGGGATTGTGGTATGGCCATCCCCTCTGGGGGGGTGATTTCTCACTTTCTGTCTCTCTGTCTTTCCGGCGAGCGCACATACCCTATAGCAAAAACACCTCTAAAATAAAACAAAAGGAAAAGAAAATCAGACAGGGCGTGAGCATGTGTGTGCACACCCATAGACTTGAGAAAAGAATGGACGAAAAAGGATTGCAGTGTGTCCATCCCTTCTAGGGTGTGATTTCTCACTTTCTCTCTCTCCATCTCTCTCCCTCTGTCTCTGTCCAGTAAACACCCATGCCCTATAGCAAAACTAAAGAAAAAAAGAAAACCGTTGAGTCTTATCATGGCAGAAGGGCACAATGAAAGGGAGGAGGAAGAGGCGGGTGAGGAGAGAGAAAATGTGAGTGAAGGTACGGAATCTGTAGGTGCTCAAGCATCTTGAAACATCTGGCAAGGTCATCTGCTGAGAGTCAGGGGCCAGGAGCTTCCGAGACTATAATGGGGAGGCCTGTGCAGAGCAGAATTGTGGAGAAGCCGTGCTGGGTTCTGTGCTTTGCAGGAAGAGGTCTTAAACATTAAGAGAGCAGTTGGCAGCATTCTGCGCCTGGGGAAGCAAAGCTAAGAGTGCTCACCCTTGAAAATCTTTGTTTTGGAGATAAGGACAAGGCCAACTAATATGACAGGCCAAAAGGAACCCTCGCTTTATTTCTATAGTTGTTTTCTTCCTATGTGACTCAGCTGTGCAAAGCTTTCTTTTGGCTTTAAAAAGTGACTCACGTACTTTTACTATGGAAGTGACAGGGGCGGCGAGGCCGCCTACCGCCCACCTGTCGACGAGTCATGCAGTTAGCGTCAGCCTGATCAGCTTTCTCTTGGATTAAACCTGTGAAAGGATACCCAAGTATTTCTTTCCCAACCCCTGTCCACTCACACTGGCCAACGTTGTGTGCCGCGTTCCACGTAAGTCGAACTTCATTTAAATCTACCTGACATTTTGTGGCACACTCACCGTGCGCCAGGCCCATGGTTGGCATGGAGGATGCAGAGATGACTCAAAGTCTCCATCCACAGGGAACACCACGTCTCTGGGTTCCTGTATTTTAGCTTACTTAGTCACGTTAGTGTCATTTGGGGGACTGGCTTTTGAAATAGTGGCTTGTTCAGGCAGCCTTTGTCTCTCGTGTCTGTCTGTCTGTCTTGTTAAGTTTTTGCCATAGGGCGTGTGTTTTCACTGGAGAGAGACAGAGAGAAGGAAAGTGAGAATTCACTCCCTCCAAGGGGGATGACCACACTGCAATCTACACTCTCAGGATTTTGAGTGCACACGTGCCTGGACTGATTTTTAAGCCACCAGATCCAAGGCTTGAACCTTGGTTGTCCACGTGGGACTCCAGTTATTTAACCACCATACCACCCAGTGGCCTCTGCCTTGTCCGAATTTACAGATGGGGACTTGAGAACAAACACAAGGGGTCTTTGCCAAAGTAGGTAACACTTAAATTTCGTGTCAGGTTGTCTTTCCAAAATGGCCCTGCAGTACTCATTTAACACCAAGCTAGTGTCTCGTATTTCATCGTCTTTAAAAGCTGCAACAAGATTAGAAATCTAAATCTTGTTACTGGTGCTAATCCCATAAGGATTAAATACATAGAACCTTATTAATGTCTTCCTAGTAAACAGATTACTGTAGCTCTTAGTAAAACAGGCCAGGGAGGGGCTCCCAGTCACTGAGGTGTTTGGTAACTAACCTCAGGTGGAGAGCTCGGGAAGACCCATCGCCTGCCAGAAGGCTGATCTGGGAGCTTACCACGTCTTTACGGTGTCCGTGCCTGGGAGAGGTGACAGCTCTTCACAGCAGCTTGCCCTGCATCCGGCGGGGCTGGCCCTTTACCCACATCAGATGTGTTTGGATTTAATTAAATTGAGGCTCCCCGAGTGCCTACACAATTAGCTGTAATTGCTCCTCAGCAGTGCAGCAAACCCGAGTTCTGTAACCGCCCCGGTGACATCTGGACATCTGCTCCAGGTCTCAGATAATTAGTCTCAAGCCTGAGCAAAGATAGATGTGTCCAGAAGGAATCAACTGGGGAGAAAGTCAGACTTTTAATCATTAAACAAGAAGTCCCCACAGTACTCTTATTTATGTGGATTTGCGATACAAGGCACAGGGCTGGAGCTGTGAGGTTAGTTGAGTCCATTCTGGTATTCCCACTTCGCCGTGTAAGGACGGACAGGTCATTTCACATCTGTAGGTCTGCCTTGTCTGTACTTACATTCGACGCACAGGCCCTGAAACATGGCGTACTCATTTTTTTCATCCATTTATTCAGGTAGTACCACTTGGGTTCCCACCAAGCACTTGGCCTCATTGGTAACAAGGAACAGTAGCAAGAATGTCTTTGCTCTGTGGAGTTTATAATCTCTCAGAGGCTCGTTCAGAGTTAGAACAAAACAATACAAAAATAAATAAATAATTAGCAAGAGGATGACAGCATTAGGCAGAAACCCAAGGAAATATTGGAGAAGTAAGGATTTTAATAACGTTTTAAAATAATTCCCTCAGTACCGTTTTTAAAAAGACTTATTTATTTCATTTTATTGACTACTATTATCATTTTTTAACTTGCTGTAGGGAACATGCTCTCACTAGTGAAAGACAGAGAGTGAAAGAGGGAGAGTGAGAAAGCAAGCCACTAGGCCCAGGACTTGAACCACAGTTAGCCATGTGGGAGTCCAGCGCCTTAACCACCTGCTGGCTGGCCCCTTTCCATAGATTTTTTTTTCTAACTGGCCAAATTTCTACTGGAAAAAAAAAAAAAAAACAAAGAAAACATATGCACACTGTAAAAACATTCAGAGTTTTCATTCAGTGCCAGACATTCAATGCCAAGTCTATATACAATGACTGAAATGAAGTCTCCTTTCCCTCAGAAACTGTCAGTTCTCCTCCTCAGAAAAATCAGTGTCTGCTACAGTTTTTCAGTGAATATTTAATCATTTCTTTCTTTCTTCCTTTCTTTTTGTTTTTTCTTTTCTTTCTTTTTCCTTTTTTTTTTTTTTTTTTTTGTATGTGTTGTTGGCTTTTGCTATAGAGGGTGTGTGCTCTCCAGAGAGAGAAGGGAGGGAAGGGAAAAATTGTCCCCCAGTGGGGCTGACCATGGCAGTCCCTTCTCTTCCAGTCTCCTGGACACTCACGCACATGTGCCCATGTGATCTTCATGCCGCTTGCCCAGGACTCAAACCACACAGTTGGCCATGTGGGATCCAGCACTTTAACCTCCATGCCACCTGCCAGCCCTATTCAATTATTTTTATTATTTAAATTTGAATTTATTGGCCTATGAATGAAATGAAGCATCTTTTTGAACTGCCCTTATTTTTTTTTTTAGAAAGGTTTTTGCTATAGTGTGCGTGTACTGCTCATCAGACAGAGACAGAGAGGCAGAATGTGAGAAATCACCCCCCAGGGCGGATGGCCATGCCGCAATCCCTTCTCCATTCTCCTCTCGGGATCTTGGGCATGCATGCACACGCGCCCAGTGTGAGTTTAAGCCACGGGGTCCGGGACTCAAACCATGGTCTACTACATGGGAGTCCAGTGACCATAGCCATTACGCCAACTACTGGTTCCATGAACTGCACTTTTAAAAGACCAAGGAAACAGAAAATTGAGGATTTTGATCCACTTTTCCTATCAAGTAGGACAGTGATTCCCAGGGCCACATCACATGTGAACTTGTTAGAAATGAAATTTTTCAGCCCACTTAGATCTGCTGAATCAGAAACTTTTTCTGGTAGGGTGCAGGAAGCCGTGTTTGAACAAGCCCATACTGGCCCCACCCCTGGTGTTTCTGATTCCGTAGGTTTGGGGTAGGGCCCCACAACGCACATTTTGAACAAATTTCTAGGCAGTGTTGAGGCTGCTGGTTCAGAGGCCACACTTTGAGACACTGGGCGAGAGCATCTGGGAATTGGTCTTTTTACCTCCAGGAGAGAGGACCAGAAGCAATTCCCTGTATTTGGGGATGTGAAGTTCGTTTCTGTGAGGCATGGGTCTGGAGGAAGAGCCTGGTTCTGTTGAACTCTCCTGTCCCTGGTGGAGAGCTAGCTTTGAGAAAGGGCTTGGAAAGCTGCTGTTGGCTAAGCGGACTTCCAGAAGGTGTAGTGGCGCCCTCACCTGAGAAGGCCCAGACTGCAAGTCAGAAGCTTAGGAAGTCCGAGAAGAGATGGACTAGAGACAGATGATCGATGGAGTGCCTCAGAATGCTTTCCCATAATAGCTTGGGCTGGAGAGAGCCTCTTCTGAGAACAGTGGTTCTCAGCCCTGGTCACATGTTGTAGTCAACTGAGATTTTGTAAAAGAACACCCGAAGACGACAGGTACGACGGTTTGCCTGTTTCGTATCCGGTTCTTGTCAACATCCCTAACTTTCACTACTAGGCTTTATTTTAAGCTGGCTCCTTGCAGAGTCAGGGTTTGGGGTATAATGCCTCACTTCACCTGTGTGTGGCCCTTCACCGCTTAACAAAGCTGCCGAGCTGTGACATGGCTTCACAACTCCCCACGGGGACATCAGCTGAGATCATCCCTCCTGAGCAGACCAAGCCCCAACACCCTCTCCACTCTGAGGTCTCCTCTGTGTATTTCTGAATGGGTCTGTCTCCCTTGGCACCCTGTCCCCACGTCAACCAAGAACATTCCGCCCTAATCCTACTGAGCATCCTGGCCGTCCCGCTGGACTGAGGTTTGTCTTTCCTTCTCCCTGATGCTGACAAGAAGATCCTGTAAATAACATCCGCTTGGTTCTTTCTCAACACTATGAATCACCGTCATGCACATGGGCCTAGCAATCCAGTTTGTGGCCAGAGAAGCTGATCCCAGAGGGTCTTGCTTGTGCTTTTATTTACGTTTATGTGTGAACGTGTGTGCTCATGCATACGCTGAATATCTGTTTGGATTTCCATAAGCAGCTAGACAGGGTTCTCTCGACCCACCTTGAAAGGGACCTCTTACGTCTGCTCGGCAAATGGCACTTCCACTCTTGGAGACTTTTCATACGTGATTGTTTTCCCTTTTTAAAAATTATTTTATTTATAACATGTATATATATTTTAAATTTATTTGACTAGAGAGAGGAGGGGAAAGTGAGAAAGCAAGCCGTCAGGTTTTAGACTCAAACCATGGTTGGCCATGTGGGAGTCCAGTACCTTAACCACCATGCTACCTGCCGGCTCCACGCTGTTTTCTTCTGATATCGAGGGACAACTGAGAACTTCACTTTGAGTAACCAAAAAGAAGTGTCTGTTTGTCTGTCTCTATACACACACACACACACACACACACACACACACACTGTTTATATTAACAAGCGTTTGGTAACCCTCCGGCTCACGTATTCTCCTGTACTTGTTGCACCTAAAGTGATGACGTGAGTCCACCCTTTTGCCCACAGGTTGCACGTGGGAATTTGGAGCCATGGTGAACTACATCAAGAAGACGTACCCCCTGACCCAGCTGGTCGTCGTGGGCTTCAGCCTGGGCGGTAACATCGTGTGCAAATACTTGGGAGAGACTCAGGCAAACCAAGAAAAGGTCCTGTGCTGTGTCAGCGTGTGCCAGGGGTACAGCGCGCTGAGGTGAGTCACCCCCACGTGCTCCCACCTTTCTTCTGCCGGGCCCTCGGTTCACTCTCGTCTGTCGAAATGCCCCAGCACGCCAGATGCTGGTGGGCGAAGAGCAGGGAACGCTAGCAGACTCGGCGGAAGGGGCCGAGACCTGGCCTCACTGTGTTCTGCTTTCACGTCATACACTGGGGTGGTCCTGTCAGACCCCATAAGCTTGGGACATGCATTTTGGGATCAGATCTGGAACTGGATAAACCCAAGCCCCACGTAGTGGTTGCTTCCTTAGGAAATCCCTGTGAGGTGACTTCCATTCAGTCATGTGTCAGGAGTTTTGGAGAAGCCGGGGTTTAGGAAAGCACACAGAAGACCGAGGAGCCAGGATCTGAGAGCCAGGCCCCAAAGAGTCCCAGATCCCTCTTTCCCGCAGGAGGGTCGAGTCCCACGTGGCACCTGATAGGAAGCATGTGCCCTCACCTTCTGGCGTCTTCTCTATTAGCCACGCCAGACTTCATCAGAAAGGAGCTGACTTCCTGGGCAAAGCTTAGTCATAGTTCTCAGTGTCCTGCCAACAGATACCCCACGAGAGAAGCCCTAGGAGGGCACGTCATCAGCCGTGACATCCCCCTCCAGACCACGGCTGTCCAGCATCTCTGGAGAGTCACCATACACGCACACACGCGCACACACATGCACACGGACGTCTCTCCAGGCTCCTCAAGTACATTTATTTCTTCCTGTACTCATTCAGCACGGCAGTGTCTTCTGTATGACAAATAAGAATGCCTAATTATTGTGCTATGCGTTACACATTTGATTGACTGCTTTTCCTTCTGCATTTCAAATTGTTTCCGTAATTGTAGAAGACACGGTTTTACAGAGTAATATATTAACACTTACATGTTTAACTTTTGCACATAGATCTAGGTTGAAATAGCTAACCAGTACATATTTACTAACTAGATACTTAATGCAGTCTTTAAAAACATTTAGGAAACCTAGGGTGAATATATTGACATTAGATTCTTGGGCAACACCAGAAATTTGTATGGCTGAGGAATCTTCACAAAGAGAAGAGACTATAAAAGAAGAAGTATGGGCATGCTAAATGGGATAGTCGGTTAGCTGAGGATGACCATTTAGTAACGATCTCCCGGAGATAGCCAAAATTGCACAAGAAAGTAATAAACAAAAACAAAAACTCCATCCAGAATAATGCCAGACAGTCCCCAGAGTTAATAAAGTAGTCCTTCCTTTCTGCCTCACCTATCTGTCTCATCCTACAGTTTAAACCACAGCCTGTTTTATTGTATTCTGTGGATAGAGGCTGTTTAGACCATTTCAAAAATAGGTTACTTGAATTTGAAGCCAGCCTACCTGAAGGGTATACTTGGACCCAGAATTCACACTCTGCTTGTGAGGCGTAAAGCTGGCCAGAAAGAAGATCTAAATATACCCAGACGTAGACCTGAAAACATCCACCATGAACCTTTTCTGAGTTTCAGGGCCAAGGCCTGGGTGCTAGTTTTTCTCATGTACAATTTAGGGAGGAGGATGATAACAGTAAACAGTACCTACCTCATAGTGCCATCGTGAGGGTCAAATGAGTTCTTGGGTGTGACATGCTTATAACAATGCCTGGCACTGTAGAAAGCAAGTGAGTGGGACTGGGTGGCATGGTGGTTAAGGCACTGGATTCCCACATGGCTAGCCATGGTGGTTCGAGTCCCAGACCTGATGACTTGCTCTCTCTCTCTTTCTCTCTCTCTCTCTCTCTCTTTCTCTGGCAAGTGTGTAGCAAATTTAAAAATGATAATAATGATAAGTAAAATGAAATAATTCTTTAAAAAAAGAGGTGCTTGATTTGATATGTAAAGGGGTGTAAGACGAGTTCATTTTCTTTTTTAGGGCGCACACGCTTGCCAGATAGAGACATAGAGACAGAAAGCGAGAAATCACTCCCCAGGGGGATGGCCATACCGCAATCCCTTCTCCTCCATTCTCCTCTTGGGATCCTGGGCACGCACACACACGCACCCGGCGTGAGTTTTAAGCTACCAGGTCGGGGATTCAAATCACGGTCGACTACGTGGGAGTGCCGCAACATAGCCATTACGCTAACTGCTGGTTCCAAGATAATTTCATGTATTCTTTTTGAAGACACAATCTGAAAAAGAGGACAGCTTCATTTCATTCTGCTGCAGTAGCGCCACCTGCTGTTGGCAAAAGCACATACACAATGGCACATTGGCCGACTAAGATGTTCTAAGGCAAAGAACGTTCAAGAAGCTAGGAAACGTGAGGTGCTGTAAGTTTCACAGACATAGCCTTCACAGCCCTTCCCTGGAAACCTCAGACCACTTTGTATACACAGATACATATTATCACATCATCCTCATGCCAGAAGGAGAAAAGGAGACAGTGTTCTTCTTTGGGGCACAGAGGTTATCTAAGATTATGCAGTCCTGCAGGGGAAGGGTCAAAGAGATACTATCTCCTGAGGGAGTCAGGTCCTCTTGACATCTTAACCAGATCTACTTAATGAAGAAACATTTTCTATTCTTTATTTTAAACCAGAACAATCTTTTTTTTTTCCTCTGCCAGAGCTCGATGGTCTTGAGCCTTTCAGCCCTGGGTTGTTGGCAGCTGTGCGTGCCCCATGTTATACCGGCACAGAGGTTATCTAAGATTATGCAGTCCTGCAGGGGAAGGGTCAAAGAGATACTATCTCCTGAGGGAGTCAGGTCCTCTTGACATCTTAACCAGATCTACTTAATGAAGAAACATTTTCTATTCTTTATTTTAAACCAGAACAATCTTTTTTTTTTTTTTTTCCTCTGCCAAAGCTTGATCTTGAGCCTTTCAGCCCTGGGCTGTTGGCAGCTGTGCGTGCCCCATGTTACACCGAGGTGGGGCAGGGAGGGCTCCTCTGCTTCTGCAGAAGGCCACCCAGCAGTACGCATCTGGTAAATCGCCCTAGCTGAGTCTGGGGACCTGCTTGCTTAGTGATTCCCCCCTCTGTGGCTTCTCATCCCACTAGCTTGCCTCTCCACTAGCCAGAGCCAACAAAAGGCTCAGAGTGAAGCCAGCCGCTTGCTTTTGTTAGCAAAGTCGAGCAGCTGCTAAGCTAGCTCACCTTTACCATGTGCCGAGCCATGACAGGAGGGACACAGTGCCTGGAAGTTATTGGCATCGAGCAGACTTCAGCATATTCCCTCCAGGTAAACAGCTGTCAGCTAGCTACGGGAGCCCATGTGGTCAAATTCAGTCCAACTCTTTGGTTTAACTAGTCAGTTCCCTTTATTATGAAGACACTTGACTATAAATTCATTCAGCGAGGTAGCGACCACACAGGTGTGGGAGGCAGAAATGGTGGGGCCAGGAGATTGCCTGAAGATTGATTCCTTCGTTCAGCCAGCCCGCCAGCCCAACGTCCTTCTAGGTCGTAGAACAGAGCCCTGAATAAGGCAGACAAGTTTGCTGCCCTTACCGAACTGAAAGAAAAGGGAAGAGAGGAGCTAGCAGACCACATGGAGGTTAGGGCGCCTGGATCCCACATAGCTGAGTGTACAGTTTGTGTCCTGGACCACAGCGACTTGAAAAATCATGCCAGGCACGTGTGCGTGCATGCCTAGCATCCCAAGAGGAGACTGGAGAAGGGATTGCGGCATGGTCAAGTGAATTTGTTAGCATCACTAAATCTCAGCTTCCTTAATGTTCTAGTACTTTTTAGCAGGCCCTTCCTGCCATAGGGAAGGGCCAGGCGCCACTTTTTCTGTCACAATGCATTTTTTTCCTATAGGGAGCATGCACTCACCGGAGGGGTAGGGGAGCAAGAGATCACCTCCCAGGGGTGATGGCCATGCCACAATCCCTTTTCCTGCATTCTCCTCTCAGGATTTTGGATACGTACGCCTGGCATAGTTTTTAAGCTTCCGGGTTCAGGACTTGAACCACGTAATCAGCCATGTGGGATCCTAAACCTCCACACCACCTGCTGGCTCACTCTCCCATTTGTTTTTAGTGGGCAGACTCCAGACTATGAATGAATTTGACAAAAGCAAGCGTTGATTGTTCATGAGGTCTCTACAGAGCTGCACCTTCCTTAACTCTGTGTTTGTAACTGAAAGCTACAAAATAACTTTGAGCAATCTGTAATTTTGTTTCAGAACCAAAGGAGGGGAAATGGCTCAGTTTAAACAAAACATTGTAAACAAAAAGTAATTTAAAGAAACAGTTTAGTTTATTAATCACTAGCAGGTGGCTGGGTGATTAATGCGCTGGACACTCCCACATGGCTGACCATGGTTTGTCCTCTGTCCAGCATGGGGGTAGTAAAGTAGATTGTAAGACACCAACAACCCAGTGGAAAACAAGGTGGCTTTTGTTTTAAGAAATTGAGAAAAATATATAACATGTCAGAATGTATATATTAAAAGTAGCAGGGGAGGGGGCCTGCAGGTGGCGTGGTGGTTAAGAGCACTGGATTCTCACATGGCTGACCACAGTTCGAGTCCTGCATCTGGCAGCTTTCTCTCTCTCTCCCACTCGCTCGCTCACTTTCACCTTGTCCCTCCCTGATCAAATTAAAGATAAATAAATAGATAAAATTCTTTAAAAAAAGTAGTTGGGGGTTAGCTGGTGTTGTGGTGGTTAAAGCAATGGCCAACCGCTTGGCCAACCGTATGGTTCAAGTCCCAGACTTGGCAGCCTGAAAAACACACCAGACGTGTATACGTGCTCAGGATCCCAACGGGAGGGAGAGATGGAGAAGGGATTGCAGTATAACCATCCTCATGGGGGTGTGCCTTCTTACTTTCCCTCTCTACCTATCTCTTTGTGGAGAGCTCTTGTTCCCTCAAAAAAATGTTAAGTAAACATAGCTGAGCACAGTCATAGTTGACTGCAGTTCAAGTCCTGGATCCAGCAGCTTAAAACTCATGCTGGGGACATGTATGTGGGTGCCCAAGGTCCCGAGAGGAGAAGTCGTGGCATGGCTATCCCCCCTGGGGGGGTGATTTCTCACTTTCTGTCACCCTGGCGAGAGCCCATGCCCTATAGGAAAAATTTCTCCAAAAAGAGAGAGGGAAAAAAAAAATTGTAAGTGGAAGGCAGTTATATAAAAATATAATTGTAGGGAAGGGGGCTAGGGAATTGCTATTTGATGACTATGAGCTTCGGTTCTGCAAAGTGTAAAAGCCCTGGAGATCTGCTGCATGACAGCGTGGATATACCTAATACCCCTGGGCAGGGCACTTAGAACGGTGAGGATGGCAAGTTCTGTTAAGTCTTTTGATTGGATTACTTTTTTTGTTTTTTTTCTTTAGGTTTGTCATAGGGCATGTGCACTAGCCAGAGAGGAGGAGGAGGATAAAGAGAAAGTGAGAAATCACCCGCCAGGAGTCATGGCCACAGCACAGTCCTTTCTTCTCTATTCTCCGCTCAGGATTTAGGCACACACGTACAGGGGCCTGGCGTTTTGTGTTTTGTTTTGTTTTGTTCTGTTTTGTTTTGTTTTTTGTTTTTTCTTCCGAGCCACTGAGTCCATAATTCAAACCAGGGTTATCCATGTGGGAATCAAGTGCTTTAACTACCATGCCACCTACTGCCCCCTTTAAAAAAAAAAACAAAACAAGATTATTTATACATGGGTAAAGCCTGGAAGAGAGGCTTTGGGGAAGGAAAAGGAACACCTTCCTTCCCCCAAGTAAAGATGGTGGACTAGCATTCTGGGAAAATATTTAATGCACTTTCAGTCTAATGTCTCATCACATATTGCTTTCAAGGTTTTTTTTAGCACTGTCTCAATCCACATGCCATAAACTTGATCACCAGTCTCAATTCATTGTGCCCTTTCCTCCTCCTCTCTTTTCGGAGCATTAGGATCATGCTTGCCCACCCCAGTCTTACAGAACCGCGCTCTCGCCTTCTCATCCTCCTTGGTTTGGCCAATCTCGCTGTCTCTTCAGTGCTCTGAGATGTAGTTCATTTGTGCCACGAGATTTGAATCCATGGGTGTTAGATGCATTCTTTCCCAGGTTTAGTCTCTTCTCACTTTAATTCCTTTTCATCAGTGCTCGGTGGGTCCATTCATTTTGCAGAATTCGAGTTGGAAAGAGGAGCGTTGAGTGGTTTCAGCTCTTCCTGGCCTAAATGATTGTTTAGAATACAGCTGCTAGTGCCTGTTTGTTTGGACTCTCGGGATTTTGAGCACACATGTACACGTACCCGGCGTGTTTTTTTCAGGCCGCCAGGTTGAGGACTCAGACATCTGGGTGGGTCATGTGGGATCCAGCACTTTAACCACCACGCCACCTACTGGTCCAATACTTTGTTATTAAGCCTGGGAAAAAACTCACCTGCAGGTCAGAAAGCCAAACAGGGAATGTGTTGCAATGTCAAGTGAAGCAGACTTTGGTTCTGGCAGGTTCTGTGACTAGAAGGCCAAGGTGCTGACAGAGGGTGTCTGGGTGCCGTCCTAGAGAGGTTCCTCCCCGTGGCTGCTTCAGTGGAGCTATTGTGGTTTCTCTACGGACGTTTGAGCTCTGCACACCAAAGCCCCTCAGCCCACACAAGCCTAGGTGGAGCCAGTGCTCTCTGCAGGCACCTGGCTCCTGGCCTGCACCGGCCACGGCCCTCCACCCGAGCTCCCGTTCACTCGTTGTGGTTCTTTCAGGGCCCAGGAAACCTTCATGCAGTGGGATCAGTGCCGGCGGTTCTACAACTTCCTGATGGCCGACAACATGAAGAAGATCATCCTCTCACACAGGTACGTCACCTCCCGCTGTGTCTCAGGAGATGGTTCCTTTCTGAGCTCACTTTGGAGTCACTAAAAGCCAGAATTCCTGTTTGTCTGGGAGAAGAAAAAGACAAAGTCTGTAGCCAGCTGGTGACATAGTGGTTACATCGCTGGACTCTCACGTGGCTGACTGTGGTTCAGGTCCGAGACCCGGTGGCTTGAAACTCACAGTGGACACGTGTGTGCATGCCCAAGATCCCAGGAGGAGAATGGATGAGAAAGGAGTGATTTATCTCTCCCTCTCTCTCAGACAAGTACACGCATCCAGTAATAAAATGCTTTTTAAAAAGTGTTTTAAAAAGGCACTACCTTCCATCCCCCAGATTCACCCAGACTGGCCTTCCTGAGGGTAGAGTTCGCATGGTGCTTGAATAAGGCCAGGCTCACAGGCTCCTCAGACTGGCAAGCTCAGGTCCTCGTCTTGAGAAGGTGGAGAACAGAGGGAGGCTTATGTCCCCATGCTGGCTGGATGGGTAGTCATTTCCACTCAGCTCGTGTTGTTTGAAGGTCAGCCATGTTCTGGGCACTGAGCTGGGTTGTGGTTCCGTTGAGGTCCGGACATTCTGGGGAGCTGCTAAGCTGTGTAGCCAGAGGGGTGAAACCAGGTCTCTGATACCAAGGCCAAGTGATGGCCTCCTTTCTGTACCTCTGGGAGTGAAAGCGACTCCTCCCAAGGAATATTTGTCTTGTCAAAGGGCCCGGTCTCACTTAGTAATTAGTCTAAAAGGTTCATCACACAAGTTTTTTTAAAAACTTTTCTGTAAAGCATGTGTGCTTGCTGGAGAAAGGCAGAGAGAGAGAGATTGAAAGTGATAAATCTCTCCCCAGGGGATGACCGCACTGCAGTCCCTTTTCCTCCATTCTCCTCTTGGGCTTTTGGGCACACACACACATGTGAGTCGGGTGTCTTTTTCAAGTCCCCAGATTTAGGACTCGAGCCACACAATTGGCCATGTGGGAATCCAGCTGCCTTCATCACTACACCACCGGCTGGACACCGGTTCATCATATAATTCTTACCAAATTAGCAGAGTCCTTTGGGTATGCATCAAGTGTATTTATCTTTTTAAAATTTACTACAGAAAGCCATGCATTTAGAAATTTTTGGGACACTTAAAATTTGTTCATTCTAATCAGTAGGTATATGATCTTCTAATACTCTGAAAAAAAAAAAAAAGTAATATGTTCTAGACCAGCTCTGTAACATAGTGATTAAGGGAGCCGGATCCCACATGGTAACCACAATTGAAAAACATGCCAGGCACATGCATGTGTGTGCCCAAAATCCTGACAGGAGTTCTGCTATCCATTCACAACCTCTCCAAAAGAGGTTTCTTTGCTTTCTTCCTTTTCTTCTCTTTTTTTTTTTTTTTTTTTGGAGAGATTTTCACTGTAGGGCGCGTGCGCTCGCCAGACAGACAGAGAGAGACATAGAGACAGAAAGCGAGAAATCACCCCCCAGGGGGGATGGTCACGCCGCAATCCCTTCTCCTCCATTCTCCTCTCGGGATCTTGGGCACGCACGCACACGCGCCCGGCGTGAGCTTCAAGCCACCGGGTCTGGGACACGAACCGCGGTTGACTACGTGGGAGTCCAGCGACACAGCCATTACGCTAACTGCTGGTTCCCTTTTCTTTTCTTTTTTAATTGCCAGAGCTTACATGTGCTTGGCACAGAGGAGAGAGGGAGAGAGAGAGAAAGAAAAAGAATGAGAGAGAATATCCCCAATGGGGCATGCCTATACGACAATCCTTTTTCCCCCATTTCTCCATCCTGTCAGGATTTTGGAGAGGTTTTTGCCACAGGGCGCGTGTGTTCACTAGAAAGACGGAGAGAGACAGAAAGCAAGAAATCACCCCCACGGGGGGATGACCACACCGCGGTCCCTTCTCCATTCTCCTCTCAGGATCTTGGGCACGCACGCACATGCGCCCAGCGTAAGTTTAAGCCACTGGGTCCAGGGCCCGAACCGTGGTCGACTATGTGGGAGTTCAGCAACATAGCCATTACGCCAACTGTTGGTCCCCAAAGTGCATGTTTTGACCTCTACCTTTGTTTCAGTTTTCTCAGGATGGATCATCTTTTTCTATTTTTTGGCCATAGGGCATGTGTGCTTGCTGGAACAAGGCAGAAAGACAGTGAGAGGGAAAGTGAGAAATCACGTCCCAGGGCAGATGGCCATGCCGCAGTCCCTTCTCCTCCATTCTCCTCCAGGGATTTTGGGCACACCTGACGTCCCAAATACACACATGGCTGGTGTGTTTTGCAAGATGCTACATTAGGGACCTGAACTGCAAAGTCAGCCATATGGAATCCAGCACTGTCTCCTCCATGCCCCACCTACTGGCCCTGTCCGCCTCTTCTCGTTCACTGGGTACTTTTGTGTCTCATTCTAGACAAGCTCTTTTTGGAGACCATGTTAAGAAACCTCAGAGCCTGGAGGACACGGACTTGAGCCGGCTCTACACAGCAACCTCCCTGATGCAGATCGATGACAACGTGATGAGGTACGTCCGCGCGGAGGGTGGGATGCCTGGCAGGAGGCCACAGGCCAGCTCTGCCCAGCACCACTGCTTTGCTCTGCCCACTCGATTGTTACAGGCTTTTTTCCCTTCCCCTTTGAGTTAGTGTCTAGTAGTTAAAAACAGTTTTATAGAAAAAGTCAAATTTCCGATTTCCCTTGGGAAGGAGGAAGAGGAGCTGACCACTCGCTCTGCACTCCTGCGTGACGTGGTCAGCTTGATGGAGGAGGTGGGTGTGCACGCCCTTCACGGTCCTACCCATCCCGTCTCAGTAACAGGGCAACCATCAGGTGCCGCGTGGATCTGCATTTGCAGTGGAGTAAAAAGAAAAGGAGGTATTTTTATCAGCAGCTCTGTCAAAAAGAAAAAGAAAAAACAGAACCAGCAGGTGGCATGGTGGTTAAGGCACTGAATCCCACACGACTGACTCTGCAGTTCAAACTCTGGGCCCTGTGGCTTAAAAAACATGCTGGGCACTTGTGCATGTGTGTCTAAAATCTTTTGAGGAGAATGGAAGAGAATGGATTATGGCATGGCCATCCCTCCCCCAGGGAGCGGTTTCTCACTTTCCCTTCCTTTCTCTCTCTCTCTGTCTGCCTCTGGTGAGCACACTCGCCCTATGGCCAAAATCTCATAACAGCAATAAAAAATATATGGCTAGAGCCTCCTCCTTTGGGGACCAACAACCCTTTAAGATGCACACCCCACTCATTTCATTCATTTACTCTTTACCTGTTAGATCCCTTCAAGGACTTGAGGCCACGACCCTGACTGACAACAGCGTCCTCTTTCCTCGTACCACTCTTTACTTTTTTAAGCCACCAGGGCCAGAATTTTAATCAAGGTCAGCCATGCGGGATCTGGCTGTCTGTGGGGGACTAGAAGGCTTTTCCTGCCCACTGATACCACAAAGGGACTGATTTTTCAAGGACAGATGTCGTAGAAATGCTCTCAGCACTCGGCCTCCTCCCTAATTGTCCAGCCTAACCTTCCAGGTCCTTCCCAGGCAGGCAGATATCTAACTCCCAGAATTATCTGAGGAGGCTGGTGACAGAAGAGAGCCACAGGTTTGCAGTAGGCAGGGTATCTTAAAACCTGTCAGAGAATCCAGCGTTCAGAAACAAGAGGCCCCTGATCTGTGTCAGGGAGAAAAGAGGTGGAGCACTGACTGTTTTAAACCAGTTCTCTGACTACTGGGCAGAATTGGCAACTTTGAAACCCCCCACCCTTTTTTATTTTTAAAGAGATTTTTGCTATAGGGCACATGCACTCACTGGAGAGACAGAGAGAGAGAGAAAGTGAGAAATCACCCACTAGGGGGAATGGCTTGCAGTCCCTTCTCCTCCGTTCTCCTCTTGGGATTTTGGGTGTGCATGTACATGTGGCCGGTGTGAGTTCTAAGCCACCGGGTCCGGGATTCGAACTGCGGTCAGCCATGTGGGTGTCCAGCAATGTAACCATTACACTGTTTGATGGTCCCCACTTTGAACCCTTTATCCTATATGTATTTCGTTCCAACTTAGAGTGATCATGTTACTCCACCAGAATTGTGTTGAAAAGACAGTTCTAGTAGATGCCTTCGAATTTCAGTTTCTCTTTGTCTAGAGCAACATCTGGTTTTATGCTTCCTCGAAAGATGTACCATCCACTGATCATTCCTGAGTAGATAACAGTTACTCAGCGTAATTACTCTGCTGGTCATTGTGCTAGTAAGCACCATTACGTCATAAATCTCACGACGCCATTAAGGAAGATCCTGTCTTTAGATCCATTTTACACAAGATGTGCTGAGGCTTAGAGAAGCCAAGCCATTTGCCTTCGGCCACAGAACTAGTAAGTGGCAGAGCCAGGGTTTGAACATTGATGTTCAAGTCAGTACGGGCTGTCTCTCTCTTTCTCTCTCTCTCTTTTTTTAAGTTCATTTATAATTTCTTCCATGAAAGTGAGACACAGAGATACAGGTCTTTGACAAAGAGACCAGAACAGGGTCTTCACGCTGTGACTCACCCCCAGTCTCAGCCAGCCTGGATCATGGGCACATGGGTGTGTGCTGGGTGTCTGCAGAGAGGATCTGGGCTGCAAAGCCAGGACCCTCCCGCGTGGGTCCATCTGTGTTACCACTATGCCACCGCCTGGCCCCTGAAGCCCATAATCGTAACCCTTATTCTGCTGCCTGTGTACGTTGTACCGATGTGATGAGTTAGTGCAGACATAGGGTCAGCAGTGAAATCAGCTCAGCATTCAGTCCTGACTCTGCTGCTTGGGAATATCCTGCCGATACAGTGGCTTGCTGTGGGAAACCGGAGCAATGACAGCTCAGCATTCCAATCTTAGGACACACATTGTTTTGCTCTTCTCTCTCTTTTTCTTTCTTTTTTTTCCTTTTTCTTCTTTTCATTTGTTCTTTCTTTCTTTCTTTCTTTTTTTTACTTTGGTGTGTTACAGGAAGTTTCATGGCTACAACTCCCTGAAGGAATATTACGATGAAGAAAGCTGCATGAGGTACCTGCACCGGGTAAGTGGCCGGCACCAGCTCAGCACTGGTGTCACTTCATCCAGCCTGAACACAGTGTGACAGATCCCCCTCCTCAGTTCCCCTGGTGGAAGCTCAGCCCGAATCGGACTCCAAAAGTTGACTTGGCTTTATAATTGAGCCGAAGTCTGTCCCTCTGTGACCATGCATTCATCCTAGAGCTGCCCCGTAGACTGGTTCAGTCCTGTGTCTCTGTGAGAGCCCATGAAACCGCTCTAGCACTCAAGTTTTTCTTAATCTGCCTTAGAGAATAATCATGCCTGGTTTCTGCCATGGTTTATTTGGGTTTTGCTTTTCTTTCGTTTTACTATAGGGCATGTGCACTTGCCAGAGAGAGACCGGGATGGGGTGAGGGATAGAGTGAGAAACACCCTCTGGGGGGATGGCCACGCCACAGTCCCTCTCCTTCATTCTCCTCTGGATTTTGGACACACATGCACATGTGCCCGGAGCATTTTCCAAGCCGCTGAGTCTAGGACTTAAACTGCACAGTTAGCTGTGTGGGATCCAGCTACCTTAACCACCACGCTAGCTGGTATCTGCCGTAATTTTTATGGATGATCCTTCTAGAATCTAGATTTCTTAACCCAGATTCTTTTTTTTTTTAGCCATTGGATATTTTGTTAGCATGGTGCCTCCAAAACCTCACACTCCCTGCCGTGATCTGGCAAGCACAGGGCAAGATAGATAAATTTCTCTACGAAAGTGATGAAGAGCATGTATGTTGATAAGGCAGACTGGTTTGTATTTATGCAGTTTTTAGCAGCTTCAATGAACTTTGTGCAAATAAAGTTTGTAGTCAATCAAAAGCCCACATATTTTTTTCCCTGAACCACCACCAAGCCAGCCTCTCTCATTCTGTCTTTGTATAGTTGCTTTTTTTTTTTTTAAAGGAATTATTCTAGTTAACTTTATTTACTTATTTAAATTTGACCAGAGAGGAGCAGAGTGAGAGAGAGAGAGAAAAAAAGGGAAAGTGAGAAAACAAACCTCCAAGTTTGGGATTCAGACTGCCGTCGGCCACACAGTAGTCCAGCCCAGCACTCTTCACCACTGTGCCACCTTTCGGCCCCACACAGTTGCTTTTTTTTTTTAACCCAAACAAAGGATTTTTATTTACCCCCGTCAATGTCCACCTGTTTATTTGGCTCACCATTCCTTCAGCGGTAAAGCCCATCACTGCGTTGCAGTCCTGCCGCCCGCCATAGCCGCCATCACCCAGGCTTTCCATGCCTTCATTTAAGCCATCATCGAAATAATGAGCTGTCTCAGCCTCGAGGGCACAGCCACTCCCTACCTCAGTGTGGCCGTTCAGTGACATCTAAGTCCCCCATCTCTACTATCTTCACTAAAATGAAAAAGGAGACCAGGCCGGCCTCACACTATAGTAGTTAAAGGACACAGATCCCATATAGCTGAACACAGTTCCAATACTCACCCCAGCGGCTTGAAAAATAGACTGTGCGTGCGTGTGTGTGTGTGTGTGTGTGTGTGTGTGTGTGTGCAGGCCCCAAATCCTGACAGGACGGAGAGATGGAGGGGAAGGGATTGCAGAGTGAATATGCCCCATTGGGAGGTGTTTTCTCCCTCTGCCTCTCTCTTCGTCTCTCTGTCTCTGACAAGCATGCATGCCTTCTGGAAAAATGAGGGGAAAAATAGAAGGTAAAAGGAGACTTTTGACGTTTTGCTTAAGTAGATGCTGAATGTAAACCTGTTAAGAGTTCGCTGGTGTCCACCAGACTATTTCTAATTTCAACCTTCAGATTCTTCCGGGAAATCTTTTTTGTCCGGCATGACATGCACTTCAGTTTTCCTCTCCACAATACAAACCAAAAGACTATGGTCATGACTTTTTTTTTAAGAGAAACTTTAGCTATAGGACACGTGTGTTCCCCAGAGAGACAGAGAGAGAGAGAGAGAATGAGAAATCACCCCCCAGGGGGGATGGCCATACCACAGTCACTTCTCCTTTCGGGACTTTGGGCAAGTACCACACATGTACCCAGTATGAGTTTGAAGCCACTAGGTCCGGGACTCAAACCGCAGTCAGCCATGTGGGAGTCTGGTGATGTAAACATTATGCCATCTGACTTTATAACTCTTTAAGAGCACAAGGGTCACATAGGACACTGGAGCTTTGCCCCTGCACCCACCTGTTGCCATAGTTACAGTAATAGCAGCAGCTGTCACTCGTCCCACTGCCAGTGAGGACAAGGCATCCTTAATCCACCTGTTTAGCAAGCCGAGCTGTGACTTTCTGCCCCCTGCTTCAAAGATGTGCCCAATAGCAAATTTGAGCAAATCAAGGAGATCCGAAAAAGGGAGTCAACGATCTAATTCTGCTTTATTTTCTTGTTGCAGATTTATGTGCCTCTCATGCTGGTTAACGCAGCCGATGACCCCTTGGTGCATGAAAGTCTTCTAACCATTCCAAAATCTCTTTCAGGTAAGCGGTTCTTCTACTGTTTTCTCAGCCACTCAGCGAACTACCACAGTGGAGTCTGTCACCTTCCCCATGCTGTCATCTCCTAGAGCCCATCCTCTTTGGGGAAGGACATCATGATGGCAGTGTGAGAGCCTGATAGTCCTAGGGTGTGACAGGACCCGGGCAGAGCCTTCTCATGTTCCTTCCTGGTGCAGGACACGGGACCACTGTTGATTCATAGCCAGGAGGGCTATAGGGCAGTCACCTGGTGTCCTGGGAAACAGTTGTCTCAGGCCTATGGTTCCATGAAGTCTGAGAATTTGAAAGAGATACTTAGACTTAAAATATGGCCTGAATAGCAAAACCCAGAAGCCCATTCTGCTCCCTCCTGTGACAGCCTCTCCGTTGGCTTTGAGGATAAAAATATACGCAAGTGAAACGGCAAAGAACGTTGCCCACGGGGGTGTCACTGCGTTAGGCCAGCGCTGTCTCATCCCATGGAGCGAGGGCAGCAGGAGGCAGGATTACTTTGCCTTGTAATTTCAGGTCCCAGAGACATCCTCTCCCACCCCCACAATCCTCCTCTGTGATTGTATTTCCTCTTGTAAATATCACACATGAAGCAGAAGGAAGAGGGAAACTAAACCTCTGGTTCTCTGGAGACCTCAAGCTAGAGTTATAGCAGACAAATGAGCTAGCCCAGTGGCCTAGTGGTTTAGGGAGCTGGGCCCCCTATAGTCAACCAGGTGGTTCAAATCCTAGCCCTAGAAGCTGGAAAAACACTCTGGGCATATGTGCATGTATGCTCCAGATCCTGACGGGACGGAGAAATTGAGGGGAAGGGGTTGTGGAGTAACCATGGCCCATCGGGAGGTGCTTTATCCCTCTCCATCTCTCTGGTGAGTGCGTACACTCTTCAGCAAATTTAAAAAAATTTAAAAAAAGAATGTAAAAATTCCAAGAGGAGAATGGAGGAGAAGAGATTGCCATGTGGCCATCCCCTGTCAGGGGTGATTTCTCACTTTCTGTCTCTCTGGTGAGTGCACACACCTTACAGCAAAAATCTCTCAAAAAATTTTTTAAAAAATAACCACCATCAACATATATACATATATATATGGCAGATGGAGGACCCACATCTAGCCAGGACTCATTACACTGCTCAGGGTACAGGCTGCATATGTTGGAGATGTTATGTAATAAAAAAAAACTGTCTCCTAGGGACCAGCAGATGGCTTAATGATTATATCGCTGGACTCCCACATAGTCAACTGTGGTTCGAGTCCCAGATCCAACGGCTTGAAACATGCCAGGCGTGTGTGCGTGCCCAAGATCCCGAGAGGAGAATGGAGGAGAAGGGATTGCGGCATGGCCATCCTCTGTAGGGCGTGATTTCTGGCTTTCTGTCTCTCTGGCAAGTGCACGCACCCTATAGCAAAAATCTCTCTCAAGATAAAAAAACTGCCTCCTCTCAGCCTCCTGTCCAGCCATAGGTTCACTGCCCAGGAATAGCCCACTGAGCCACGAGTGCAGCAGAGAGAAGGCAGCAGCACTGGTTCCATTTAGTCCTCTGATGTCACCAGCTCTGTGCTGATGCTGTCACATAGAAATCTATCAAACAGCGACCCAAAAAGAAACATAAGCGGGCTCAGACAGGAAAAGAGCTAATAGAGCCAGTAAGTGGCCCCGTCAGTCACTCCCCAAGAAAGACAGAGTTCTCCTGTTTTATCTGGCTGCCACTCTCATGCAAATCTTCAGTAATGGCTTGGTACCGGTCTGTGTGAGAATAACCTAAATGTGGATTCCAGCACTCAAGCTCCTGGTTTGTTTTTTCTTTAAGTTTGCTTGCTTATTTATGTATTTCTCCCATGAGCAACAGAGAGAGAGAGACAGTCCCTCCACCCCCTGACAAGGTCCCCAGACTGTGATCCTTCCCCAGCCTAAACCGTGGGTCACGGGCATACACATGCGTGGAGTACTTAGGGAAGTCTCCAGATGCAAACTCGGAAGCTTCCCCCATGGGTCAGCCTTGTAGAGCGACGCGTTTCACTGCTGTGCCACCTTCCGGCCCCCTGGCTCCTGACTATTGACTCTCGAGATGCCCATTTAGCGTGTGGCATTGAGAGCTTGGACATCATTTAATAGAACTTGACACTTTAAGTCGTCTCTGTCCTGAAGATAAATGTCTGTAATGAAAAATCATTGACTCCATTAAATTCTCCCTGGTTGCTAGTAAACCACTCTGTAAGAGCGGTCAGTCCCTATGCAGAACCTGGCCCCACCGCTAGCGTGGGCGTCACCCAGGAGCTTGTTAGAAATGCAGGACCGCGGGCCAGCTTCATGCCTTGGTGGTTAAGGTGCCTGGACCCTGCGTGGCCAACTATGCAGTTTGAGTCTCACATCCATTGGCTTGAGGGAAAATGCTGGACTTATGTGTGCACATGCCCAAAATCCCTCAAGGAGGAAGAGATAGAGGAGAAGGAATTATGGTGTGGCCGTTCTCTGTAAGAAGTGTTTTCTGTTTTCTGGCAAATGCACACGCCTTCTAGCAAGAGAAAGAAAGAAAAAAAAAAGTAATGCAGGATCTCAGCTTTATTCTCAGACTTATTAAATCAGAACATGCAGGGGACCAGCAGATGGCATATAAGTTAGGTTGCTGGACTCCTACATAGTCAACCATGGTTCAAGTCCCAAATCCGGCAGCTTGAAACTCTCTCTGGGTGCTTGAATGTGTGTGCTCAAAATCCCAAGAGAAGACTGGAGGAAAAGGGATTGCAGCGTGGCCATCCCCCCTGGGGGGTGTGTGATTTCTTGCTTTCTGTCTCTCTGACGAGCGCATATACCCTATAGCAAAAATCTCTCTGAAAACAAATCAGAATATGTGTCTTAATGGGATATATCAGGTGGCTGCAAGTGGGAAAGCATCACCAAAATCACTTGGGGACCTTTAGTAATACTAGTGGCTGGGTTCCCCCTTCCTCACTCGCCCCCTACAGCCCAGCCCCAGAGATTCTGATTTAATTGGTCTGGGTGCAGCCAGGCTTAGGGAGCTTTAAAAACTCCCCAGGTCGGGCCAACAGGTAATGTGATAGTTAAGGTGCTGGACTTCCACATGACTGACTGCAGTTCAAGTCCCGCACCTGGTGGCTTGAAAATCACACGAGGTGCCTATATAAGTGTGCCCCAAATCCCAGGAGGAGAACAGAGGAGAAAGGATTGTGGCATGGCCATCTGCCATGAGGGGTGATTTCTTTCTTTCCCTCTTACTATCTGTCTCTCTCCAGCAAGTACATGCACCGTATGGCAAAAACCTAAAAAAAAGAAATTATCAGTCAATCAATAGCCTCCCCAGGTTGGGCCAGCAGGTGGCATAGTGGTTAAGGTACTGGATCCCATATGGTCAACTCCACCTTTGGAGTCTTGGACCAGGCAACCTGAAAAATGCATGCATGTGCATTCTCAAAATCTGAAGAGGAGATTGGAGGAGAAGGGGTTGCAGTGTGACCATCTCCCCTGGGGGGTGATTTTTCACTTTCCCCTTCTCTGTCTCTCTCTCTTCCTGTTGAGCATACCTCCCTATGGAAAAAAAATCTGGAGAAAAAAAAACTGGTCAGGTTGAGGGTCAGCCCATGGCAGCTGGATCCCACATGGCTGACACACAGTTCGACTCCTGGACCCAGTGGTTTGAGAAACACACTAGGCACATGTGCATGTGTGCCCAAAATCTCCAAAGGAGGGAGAAATGGAAAGGGATGTGGCGTGACCATCCCCCATGGGAGGGTGCTTTCTCCTCCCCCCCCCTCTTTCCAGCGAGCACATGCACCCTCTGGCAAAATTTTAAAAAGAAAAACTCCCCAGGATGATTCTAATATGCAGCCAAGTTCAAAAACCACTTGGGGTTCTAAGGATTTCTTCAACTCCTGCCCATTCTGCTCCACAATCAAAATGCTTTTCCAGACCCTGATAGCTCCCACTGCCTTGTCTACCCATCCTCTGTCCCCAGAGGCATGTCCCACCGTGGTGGACAAGGCACAGTGAGCAGAGATCAGGTGCCCATCTAGGTGACTTTCCGTCCTGGAGGCTCCCTCTCGCCCTTCCCGCCCTGGAGCTGTGTGGAGCATGGTAACTCACTCGGCTGCCTTTTCCCCCGCAGAGAAACGGGAGAACGTCATGTTTGTGCTGCCTCTGCACGGCGGCCACCTGGGCTTCTTTGAGGGCTCTGTGCTGTTCCCGGAGCCCTTGACATGGATGGATAAGCTGGTGGTGGAGTATGCCAATGCCATCTGCCAGTGGGAACGGAACAAGTCGCAGTGCTCTGACACGGAGCAGGTGGAGGCTGACCTGGAGTGAGGCCTCCGGACTCTGGCGCGCTCCAGCGGCCCTCCCCTGGAACCCGCGTCCCCTCACCCGCTGTTTCAGGCCTCCCATCTCCCTCAGTGACCTGGATCTGACCTCACACCGCAGCGGGAGGCCATCCACCATGCACACCTGCCTGGGAGCAGGCGGCTCTCCTGGGAGCTCCAGGCTATTTTTGTGCTTAGTTACTGGTTTTCTTCATTGCATTGTTAGCCACGGTGACAAGCGACAGGGTTCTCACCCTCCTGTCCGGTCTCAGCATCCGATTGCTTTTAAGCCAATTACATCTAGTTTCCCTATTAAAAATGTGTCTGAACAGCAATTTTGCTTTGCCAATCAAAAGGCTTTTCCCTTAGAACAGTGAAGGATGTGTTATTTGGTGGTGGTTGTATGTGTCCTTATGTAGACCCTAAAAGATAGAGCTCGCCCTTCTGTTATATCATAGGCCAGTGCTGAAGACACACCTCAGCTTGGGAGTCTGAAGACCTGAGCCTCCCAGGCCGGAGTGTGGTCTCTTAAATGGGGAAGGAAATCCCTTGAGTTGCAAGCCAAGTATTCTCCCTCAACTATCTTCTGAGACCTTTTCCCCCCACTTTGCTGCTGCTCAGAGTTTCCTGGGGCATTTGTTAAACATTCAGCCTCCCAGATCCCTCCCCTTGGAAAGGCTGATCCTGTGGGTCTGGAGAGGGGTCTGGGGATTTTAATTTTTGACAAGTGCCCCAGGTGATTCTCATCAACAGGCAAATTTGGGAAACTCTTCTCCACTGCCTTTAAATTAGATACATCTTAGTAGCTCTTGTATTGAAATTCATTATCAGAGATGTCTCTTAGCTCCCAGGGACCTCCAAAGCAACAAGGCCTGTCACTTGTCACCTGTAACTGTCCTTGTGTGATCACAGTGTGAAAGGACCCTGGGTGGGAGCAAGCCTTTGGGCTGTATGACCCTGGAAAAGTCTCTATGGACTTTAATCTTGTCACCTTTAAATGGGGGGACTTAGACCAGGTAGATTGCCAAGATCACAGTCAGTTCTGAAGTTCAATGACAAACTCAGTTTACTGAGGTTTGAGAGAACATTCCCTCGGGAAACCTGGGAGCTGTTACCCCAGTCTAAACATGTAGATGTCATTATTTGCCTTTGTTGTTGAGGGTTTTTTTTTATTTTTATTTTTGTCTGTTTCTGGTTTTGTTTTTTTCTTTTGTCCCTTATTTCATATAAAGAAATTTGGGAGAAGGGGTTGGCACTCAATTATAATTTTAGTTTTTTGGTTTTTTTTTTTTAGCCCAGGTCCCTCTAACTCTGGCTTTTGATACCAAATGACTCAAAAGTTGTATCTTGAGTTCAGAGAATGATATTTCTAACCGAAGAGGGTGTTCTTTTGAAATCAGATTTTTAATCTAACAGCCTATATTTCCAGTCTGTTGGGTAGATCTTTCCAAAGTGTGTCTTCTCACGTGAAAACGTTGCTCTCGTTTCAAGTACTCTTCTTCTCCCGTCCTGTGGTACTTGACTACCTAGAAACCCTGCACTTTGAAAAATCAGCAGTTGTTGTCTGGAACTAAACAGAACTACAGATGAAATTGCTTGGATACTTTAAAAACATCTTTTCTCTGCTTCTTCTCCTTTGGCTCCAGGATAGAGACTGGCAAATAGTGATAGATCTGTGTGGCCGTCCCAGGGTGCAGGGAGCCTGAGCACCTGCATGCCCACCCTCATGGCCACAGGTGAGGTAACTTGGGCCTTAGTCCCAGAGACTGTGACCGTAACGCCTGTAACCCGAAGAAGTTGTTTTCTGACAATCACCAGACCATCCTAACGACATCAGTCATAGCCATTGTCGCACAAGAATGAGATTTCTGTGGTCTCAACTTGGCTTTGGTGTAATTTCTCACACTGAACAAATCCTGTCGTTACGATTTCACCCCAGGTTGTTATTTTTCTAATGCATTTCCTTCGCATGCTCTTTTAGCACAAATTGGCACTTTATTATCTCGTCACCTGCCCCTCGATTGGGAAGCTCACCCCTCTGCTCTGTTCTTTTCCTTCCGCCCCACCACAACTATGATCTAGAAGATTCCTAGTCCTATTTTCCTGCTACTGCCTTCATTCCGCCAGACTTCGGGTGTAAACAGGTAATCCCAGCAATAACTTTGTAGAATTGAATCACCATTTCAGGAAGTGAGGGGCTCCTTTCGCTTGCCTGAGGTTACATCTCTTGACCTTTTCCGACAAAACGGTGGCCGAGGTACCAGCTCCATTGAGGAGGAGAAAAGACAGTCTTGTTGTCACACAGGCGGAGGGGGGGGTGGCAGGGGGGGCCTTGGGGGCCGGTCAACGTGCAGGAGTCCTGGCGGCACCTATGGAGGAGAGGCAGGCCTGGGGCCATAGGCTTTGTTGCCATACAACCGGAATTGACCCCCCGGGACTGTGGGGGCCATGTCCCAGCTGAAGCCCTTTTTAGCGTGACTCTGAATGGCACTTACATTCCATTTTGGCTCACATGGAATCAACTGAAGCCCTTTGTTCCAGCTTCGGGCTCTCAGGCATAGAAATGAGAATGTGACTGTGGCTGTCTTACAGGAAAATTCTTGTTTGTCCCTGAATGGGAGCACAGAGGCATTGAATTTACAGAGAGGCAAACTTGCCTGATAAATGAGAGCATGGCATTTTTTTATGTAGGTCATCTTTTTCCCTTCCTCCGGGCTTCCTCGCCTTTCTTTCCCAAAGTCATTCATTTCTGTGGATCACGTGAATGCTCTTCTTGCTATTGAGGTCCTGGTTTGGGCTAAAACAAGGCTGAATTTCTGAAAGCTTGGTTAAAAACGAAATTTTAAAGTCCAATTATGACTTTCAGTTGCATAGAGCTAAGCGGTCCCATGGCAGGAAGGAACACGTTAAACACCAAGAGGGAAAAGCACTCACATTCCTCCTGTACTTCCTTGCCTCCTAAACAATTTGAAGAACCTATCCCAGTGAAATTAGAATGATTGGACTTGAAATAGTAGCTCATGGGGAAAGTCATGTCATATTTTTCTATGTTTTTCTACGCAAAAATGCGTCATGACTCTCCCAACGACGGCCCAGTGCGATGTCAGCGTGGAAAGGGAGTGTAACAGACTTCTCTCCCTCACGGTGAGTGTGTATCAGTGACCCCAAAGCAGGTAGAAAGTTGTTTGTCGGTGTAATGTTCTTTGCACCTTCTGCAGCATTTTACACCTAAAGAAACTTGATGGCCTATGCCAGGTATTCTGGAAATACACCTGAAACGGGAATGTTCCTTTCTTGTCATGATGTTACGGAGCCAAGGTCGAGGGGACCTGGGTTCTTATCTAAACAGTTTTTCATTCACATTAGCTCGTAGGCAAGCCCTTGAACCTGTCACTCCATCACAGACCATCTCTAGGGCCACATTGATCTATTTACACATCACCTGTCTAAGCATTTTTCAACATTCGCCTGAACTTAGCTTCCACAGCCTTGTAGGTGGAACGGGCGAGGTCAAAGCTCCAGGCTCATCCCGAGGGGACCTTCATGGTGAAGACCCTCGGTACTGTCCAAAGCCCCGTGTCTTCAGCTTGCTTCTTTTCAGAGTATTCAGTGTGGTATTCTTGCTATTCTGAGGGTGGTCTTGTGACTGTGGCAGGTGCTTGCCGTTGGAATAAGAAGAATATCTCCATCCTTCAGTGTCACTCAGGCAGAGCATTGAGAATTCCCAGGGCAGAAAGCCTTCCTGCGCCGGCTTTCATTCTAAAACTACAGTCTTCATTAAAGCTGAACTTTCTGGGTAGCTGAGCTCACATGCCCGGCATCTGAATGAGAGCTCTCTTTGTAATTGGGTGACTTCAGCTCTATTTTTCCAGCTCCGGGGAAACAATACGTGTGTTCTTGTTTGTGTTTGCTGGGCAAGCAGATGTCTGAGATGTGAGAGGCTTTTCTTTTCCCGTGGCATTGATCGGGACTTAGAGCTAAAGGAAAGATCGCTGAAACATCTCACTGAGTTGAAGGAGCTCCTAAGTCTTTGTCCTTTAGTCCGGACAGGAGAGGTATTAAGAAGCATTTTGCTGCAGCCTTCTCTCAAAAATACCATCTTCTTTGCCCAGAAAGCCTTAAATTGTTTCTAGAAAATTCCCTGACATTACGACAATCTCGTGGCATTCTTAGAATTCAGATTCTTCTGCTGTGGACGTTTGAGGAGAAGCCACAGCACAGCCAGAGAGTTCTCCTAATGTAGACTCCTGGTTACATTCTCACTGCACACCCCTCTGCAATACGAGTGACTCCAAACTGCCTACATGCACCCTCTCTAGCACCCCTCTGTCCTTCTCGGCCTTACGCTGTTGTCCAAAGTCACCTTGGATAACTGAGATGCTTCAAAAAGCCATGAGCAAGTGGCCTGCCTGTGGCATTTAAGAGCCAAGCATCGGAGGGGACGCTTTTCTTCTACCTCTGTCATTTAAACAGAGGCACCTTCCCCCTCTTCATAAGTTAGAATTGCTTCTGCCAAGCTGTATTGGAAGGTAAGGAAGGGGAGCTGACCCCTGCTGGCAGAGAGACCTGGAATGCCGCTCTAGCCAAGGCTGCTTCCTCTTGCCTGTGTCACTGCTGCCTCTGATGCCATAACCCACACAGTGGCCCTTGGAAGCGGGCCACAGAGTCCAACTCACCAACCGTTCTCAGGCTCCCTGAAGGCAGATGACTGCCCCTTTCAGAAGCAGCAGCTCCCCACATTTTCGGAGCTGCTTTCCCCAGCATGTCCAAGGGTAAAACTTCCATGCATCTCTAATAAATAGGCTGAAATTAATCTCTAACTGGTAGGTTCTGTTTGTTCCATGAGGCCTCACAGCTTTCAACTGGACTCCTGTCAATTAGTAATGAAATCTACCACCTACCTTCTCCCCATTCCGGTCCTCAGTAGCCAAGAACTCCATTATTGCCCTAAGCTGGGGACAGTCCACTTATGACACCTGCAGAGATACCTTTCATCTCAAAGGGCATTTTCCTCCCAGACCTCCCAGACTGAGCAGCCAGCAGTCCCTAGCATGGCCGACCCCCTTGGTCCCAGGACTGATGGCTTCTCTCCCAGGCTGTTCCCATGGGCGGAAGACGTTCCTGGGTGTCAGAGTTCAGTTTTGCGTTCTGGGTTTTGTGTGTGTGTGTGTGTGTGTGTGTGTGTGTGTGTGTGTATGCTTTTTGTTTGGTTTGTTTGGTCTCTTTAGTTTTCCTGAAGCACAAGTCCACGTAGAATCTTGTCACCTCGTCACACCAGTCCCAGATGATCTGGGTCTCTCCCACTGCCTCAGGAAGACCTTCACTGTACCTGAGCTTCTGACTTCTGCCACTGCAGCTGCCTTAGTGAC